AGGAATCCATTGATGGGGTCACACGTTCGGTTCGAGACCCATTTAGCGAGTCTGGAGCTCAAAACGCGTCTAGAGTTTGGGCCGCCTTCACCGGTCTTCTGGCCCACTGTGCCGCGGCCGGTGGCGGCCACTGGCCCGCTAATTCCCTAATGCCCGAGAAGTGGAGTGTTTGGATTGCTCCTCGGATTGCTCCGAATGGAGTGGCCGGGCCGTCTTTGCCGCGGGCAGCGCGGGGCGGCGCGGAACAGTGGGGCTGGCCAGGGGCGGCACCAGATTCACCGCATGGCCGACTTGTCACCCCCCCTCCCCCCCCTCCCCTCCCCTCGTGGATCAATGGGCAAGGCCACCCTGCGCCTTCTGATCTGATCCCACAGCAGCGCGAGAACACAGTCATCATCCGCAGGATTAATTTTTTATTGATTGGATGAAAGCCTCTCTCGCGCACATCGCGCACCAACACCAGCGACACTGCAAACAAAAAAATTAAAAACTACCAAAGTGAATAAAAAATGTTAATCTTGTTGCGACTGCTTGGAGATACCGGAAGTGGACGAGGACGAGATGACCGCCGCTCCCTCCTGGCGGAGCCGGACGTCGGGGAGGGCGGGTTGGGGGGGGGGGGGGAGAGAACAGCGATTACTTCGGCCAAATAAAAACCATCACAATAAATGAGAGAGAGAGAGGTGGAGCAGAAAAGCGGCGCGGAGTGACGCAGAGTGACTTACTCGCTGGAAATGACGAACCCGCAATTATTGTTGTGTTGCTCGGACCCAAGGGGCGCGGGGCGATGGGAGGGGAGGGGGGAGGGGAGGGGGGAGGGGCGTCTCGACCCACGCCTTTCTCGGCGTACACCTTACGCGGCGGGGGCAAAGAAGCCGGAAAAATGTAGGAGTGCACAGGAGGAGCCGAGGGGAGCGGCAGAAGGCAAAAAGGCGCCGCGCTCCGAGAAATTTGCATCGTCTACCGGAGCAAGATGTGTTTTCGTTCATCTAAGTGCTCCGCGGGCGCGGCGGCGGCGAGATGCGACGCGGACCTACTTAGGGTGGCTCGATTCGTGGAGGAGAGGGGACTTTGATTGCTTCTGACATGGGGCTTCGAATCGGCCACAGTGATGGGAAAGGGGGGGGGGCTGAGTTGTCTCCTTGCAAGGCGCATCAAGTTGTCCGTTTTCGTTTCGAAGCGTGATTCACTTTGAGAGTTCAATTACCACCGTGATTTTCGGCGCAGCCTGTATGTTCTGCTGATGATGAGCTCGTTGAACAGCGACACAAACACGAGATTCTCTCCCCCTTTTTCCCTGCCCTGCGGCTGCCTGTGAGACGTCTCCTTCTCCCTTACCCGGAAAAATGAAAGCTTATTTGTCCTCGCGATTCAATGTTGCCATCGGAATCTTGCCTCCGGTCCGCAAGCAAGCAAGCCAGGCGGCGGCAGCGCCAAGAAGTCTGCGCGACTGCGTCGAGTCGGCCGAGTGGGGGAGCGACGACGCACAGTGGGCCAGCAGACCGGTGGAGGCGGCCGAAACTCTAGACGCGTTTTGAGCTCCAGAGTCGCTAATGAGACTCGAACCGAACGTGTGACCCCACCAATGGATTCCTCGTTCGGAGAGCAATCCATTGGTGGGGTCACACGCTCGGTTCGAGTCCCATTTAGCGACTCTGGAGCTCAAAACGCGTCTAGAATTTTTGCCGCCGCCACCGGTCTTGTGGCCCACTGTGCGACGGCGCGGCGGTGCGGCGGCACGGCGGGCCAGGCAAATAGAGGGAGGGAATGTGTGGCGCGTTCCCCTTTCCCCGCTCGCAAACAGAGAGAGACAACAACAGCCATGATCGTAATGACGGCAGACCGAGCCAGAAAGACAAGCAGCTTGCGTGCGAGCAGCGAACCAATGCGCGGTTTGGCGACGCGAGCTCGCGCGAGTGGCCGACCGCTTGAAACGCTCTTGGCCAACGCTCCTGCAAAGGAAGCCACCCTCTCTGGAAAGAAATTATTAATTGATTGAGATGGATTAATGATCGGGAGCGAGAGTGAGCGAGGGAGATGGAGTGGGACACAAGGCGTAATCAGATTAAAGACCGCTGGAGTGAGACAGAGTGTGAGGGGCGCTCATTGAGGCGGAGTGTGCGTCTCTTGTTGTCTTGTCCTGCTTATCCGAGTGAGGCGCGTGGCAGCGCGGACACACTGTACAAGCTGTCGCGGCCGCGCGCGTGCCGCCCGACTTGGCGCCCAAATGGAGGACTCTGTTCAAACGGAAAAGCACAGTCAAATGGGCCAAACGTTTCCCCATGCATTTCGTCCTGACGCCTGGGCTGCAGAGCAAAACTTCTCAGGAGTGACGAAGTGACGTTCAAGAACTAGTTAACCTAGAGATTTTTTTCGAAAAATCGTGTTGAGTAAAAAAATTCAGAGCAAAATTAAATTTATAATTTTGCTCTTATTTTTTACTTAACTAACACGATCTCGTCCCGCGAATAAAATGCAATGAGAGGACTTTGAAATCAATCCTCCGAGGCCACCGTGCGGCTTGCCACGGCTTGCCACTCGCCGCTTTCGATACCTCGAACTTGATTAGCCCGGTGCGACGTTCAACTTTTTAACTTCTCTCTTGCAAAGCTTTGCCGGCTGGCTTTGCCTCCGCAACGACCCCCCGGTGGCATCGAAACTTGGAGGGGAGAGAGGGAGGGAGAGAGAGAGAGAGAGAGAGAGAGAGAGAGAGAGAGAGAGAGAGAGAGAGAGAGAGAGAGAGAGAGAGAGAGAGAGAGAGAGAGAGAGAGAAGTGCGCGAGTAGCCAAAACTTTTCCGACCGTGCAAGACAGGCAGATCGGGAAGAAATAGCTGAGGGCAAAAAATTGGGCTCGAGGGATAAAATGAAGAAAATCCGTCGTGACCGTCTCACCTTGTCCTCCCTCTTGGAGACCTTCCTCTCCTCGAGCTTCGAGCCCCGGGCCCTTGAGCCGGCGTGTCGCACCCCGGCCACCCCGGCCACCCCGGGCAGCAGGCCGACGGGGAAGGGTGCGGCTTTGATCCAGGGAAATAGCGATCGGGGCTGAAATGCCTTCGCCCGCCCCGCCCCGCCCCGCCCCGCCCCGCCCCGCCACTCCGAGGAACAACTTGGTCCTCACCGCCTTGACAGCAGCAGCGTCGTTAGAACTTTTTTGCCTTTTTTCAATGCGCCGCGAGGAAGGCTTCTGACAGCGCCATCACTGTAATTTCTGGGCAGCACTTTGGCGCCTTCCCGCGCATCCCGGCGCCGCCAAGGCTTTTGCCGCGCTCGTCGTTCCCGTCGTTCGCGACCCACTGCCCCAATCCGATTCGGGCGATTCGGCCGCCTGGACAGCGACGCTCTGCTTCGCTCTGTCTCGCTCGCACCCCACCGGACGGAGCGGGACGCGCCGTGAGTGCGAGAGAGACGGAGGGTGGAGCGATAGCGGACGAGGGTCACGGGGAACCAAGCGGCCGTGGCGAGCGGGGCACGCGGGAGCCAATTCCGGCTTGATAAGTTAACGGTGTAGTGGCTCGCGACGCTCGCGTTGCGTCAGGAGTTACTGCTCTCCGTCACTCCGTCGCAAGACTTCGAGGCATCGTTCCGCGCGAGGACGGGCCGTGGCGTGCAGTGGCGTGCCGTCCGCCAAGTGCGGCGGGGCGGGGCGGGGCGGGGCGGGGCGGGGCGGGCGGCGACACGGATCCGTTCACCGCTTCGCGCTTCGCCGCCGCAGCTGTGCCCAGGCTGTGCCTCTCCTCGCGATGGCGGCACTCACTAGGTGGCTTCGCGAGCTTCGCGACCGCGCGCTGTCGCCTGTCAGGCCTGTTAGGTACCCGACATGCACGAGCGCAAAAAGAAAACAACAGCAAAATTGGTGAAAATGAGAAACAACATGACAGGACACGAACCTCGCGATACGCCTTATCTGCTTGTGTGTGTGAGTGTTTGCACAGCACGGCGCGGGGGCTCGGCCAGGCTCGGCCAGGCTCGGCCACGTTCGGCCTTCTTCGAGAAGGGCCGGGTCGGCCGGACATTGGAAGGTCTCTCGCGGGTACGTAATTCACTCGTTTGGCCGCCGATCGGCCCTGCATCTCCAATCCCTCTGATCGTCTGATGGGATCGCATCGGATCGAGCCAGACTCTGACTGACCCCCGGCCCCGCTCCGCCCCGCCCCCGCCCTCTCGCCCTCCCTCCGCTTCTGCTTTCAAATACAGCTGACGGGAAGCAAGCCGAGCCGAAGCCGAGGGTTCGGGTCCCGTGTCGGCACCGTCGGCACCGCTCGGCCCGGGCTCGGCTCGGCGCGCCGCGCTTCGGCTGGGCTCGCTCCGCTGCCCGGCTCGGCTCGCGCCGTCCGATGCTGCATGCTCCCCCCTCCCCCTCCCCCGTCTCCCTCCCCTGGCCGAGAGGAGACTCAGCGGGCCGGCGCTGCCAACCTCGCGCGCCTGCCACCAGCAGCGCGGCAAGTTCGAATGCGGCGGCGCGACCGTTGCGGCTCGCCTCTAATGCTGGGTGGCGAGCGCTGTCCGGTACGCGATGGAAAATTCTGACGAATGAAAGCACGACGTGTTTTTCACCCCAATCGTAATTTGCCACCAACAAAAAAGGGTAATTTTGAAAAAAAATCACATTTCAAAAGTTTACTTTTCAAATGGTAATATGTGAAAAATATGTCTCCTAATAATTTTCATTAGTGTATGGATCCTTGAAACGTCGCTCTCTTGGTACGCATGGATAAACAAGTATTTCTGAAGTTAGCCCGGTGGTCCAGTTGTCAGAGACGTGACAGCCGAAACTGACAGGACCCGGGTTCGATCCCGGTAAAGACCCCTGTACAGCCTCCGAATTTTTTAACACTTTCATCCTGACTTGTTAAAACAGTTAACTCTAACAGTGAGGTATTTCTTCGCCAGCCTTGCTTCCATCTTACTCGCGTTTTGTTGTGAGAGCGTAAAAATGAATGGAAAAGCCGCCAGAGAGCCAGAGTCCGGGCGGGCGAGGCGGTGGGGTCTTTCGCGTGCGGCCCGTTGGCAGCCGTGGCCACAAGTTTACTACACCCCAGCCTAGACTGAGGGGCCTTCAGCGCTCTCGTCAGCAGCTCTTTTCCTTCCGATTAAAGTGCGATTTCGGAACTTTACGCTAATGAGCGTGCCGCGAGTAGTGTCCGTCCGTGTCCGCGAGTGCGCGAAAGCTGGAGTAGCGGCCGCGATGCGTCGGGAAAAGTGTTTTCTGTGAGGTGTTCGGCCGGCAGGGCTACGCCGTCGTCAGCCGCGGCGCGCAGCGCGCAGCCATTTTAGGGAGCAGTCCGGCAACGCCGCGCCGACTCCGCCATTCGAAACAAAGTGTTTTTCTCCAGGTGCTCGAGTTGTGTCGGTTTTCCGCTCGTTTCCTGTGATTTTCGCGTGTTAAAGTGGTGATGTGAAGCGCGAGATGCCGCCGAAAGTGTCAGTGTTGGTGAGGAAGCGTGTGTGAGTGCGATGGAGAGCGAAGTGAAGCAGCGAAGCCAGAGGAATAGGCGACGGGAGCGAGCTCAGCGCATGCAGGCTCAAAGGGAGAGCCAGGAAAAAGGTGGTGGAGACAGTGCCGAGGATGAGTCTCCTAGCAGGGAGAAGCCTCAACGGCCGCCTCCGCCCAACAGGAGAAAACGCTCCAAAGAACCCTCGTTCGAAGAGGACGTTGTGGATGGATTTGCAATCTTGTCCTTCAAGAACTACGAGGATATTGAGGTGAGTAAACTGTGTGCAGCATCTGAGTTTGTGGCAGCTGCAAGTGGCCTGGTTCAATTTATTTTTGTGGTTCAGAGTGGTCAAATGTGTGCAGGGTTGTTCAGGGGTCGTTTCTGAATTTTTTGGATGCCCTCTGAAAAATTTGGGGCGTGTGGTTGAGTTGTAAACAAATAATTGGTGGACCTCTAGGTTATGCGTACTGTCAACACTAATAGTGTTCCAGTACATTATTGGTGTGCTTCAAATTATTTGAGACTAAATTACAATACTGTCTCAACAATCTCCTTTCTCTACTGCCTAGGAAAACATAGTTTGTAGCCCTCATTTAAAAATTTCATTCATATAGCTTGGAGGTTATGTCGCCCAAGCTCGCTCAGTGAGCGGTTCTTTGGGCCTCCAGGTTAGGAAGTATTTTTCATGTGATTCCTAAAGCAAGAGGAAGCAATCTGCAGTGCAGATTTAAATATTTTATTATGGTTGTGATGTTGATAATCCACTTGTGATAGAAATCTAAAAAAATGAAGTCATTTGAATGACAACATTGTCCAACATCTTTGACTCGCTGCCACTGAAAGTTTTCTGTGTTTCAATTTTATGTGCATTTCTTTTCCTTTATGTTGATGAAAGCTTGAAATTTTTAATTTGACACAATGCACAGTTTGTTTTTAAAGAAAGAATGCACTGCCTGCTTTATTGATGCTTCAAGTTGAATTAGCAGACCACTTCACAGGTATTTTACATACTCCTCCGGATCTTTCAGAATCTTTTGTGTAATCTGGACGTGCCAACATGGAGTACAAATGTGTATAAATAGGTTTCCATTTATTGTGAGTCAAGTCTCTGTACAATGTTGGACTATTGGTTATTGTGTACTATATCAGTTGTGTTATTAAAATTACGGTGGTTAACTGAATTCCATGTAAGCTATAATTTGAAGGAAGTGTTACTTTTTGACTGGCACTTTCTGCATTTTTAATGTGTGGTACTATCTCTTTTATAAGTGACAAATTATTATCAGTCAGCTAATGATCTTTGCCCTGCCAAACACATTTATGACAAAACATTTGTGATACAGTATTGTGATAGAGTGATACAGTATTGTGACTGCCAGATATCATCAGATGTGTCTCTACCGGTGTTTTTAATGTAATCAAATTTTTTATTTTCTCATGTGAGTTAGACGGGCTGTTGGCAAACTTTTTCTTGGATCAGGTGCATGCACCTTGGGTGCTGTGCTAAGTGGCTCCCTTGGCCAAGCATTCTTGCAGTGTGTAGGATGGGCCCATTCTGTGTGGAGGAGTTCGTGCCAAACTGGCACTTGGCAGGTGTCTCTTGGGACTGCCGTGCCAAGCTGCCAAGCTTCAGGTCCACACTCTGCTACATTTAATTTAACCATGCAAAATTTTTTATTTATGAGAAATAATTTTTCTCAGTTTACTTTCTCAGTTTGTGAGTTATACTTAAGGCAATTAACCAAAGTCTCAAAGTATGCAATAAATGACTAACTGACCACCACCACGATAAAATTGAACCGCCTCTGCTGCTGTCACCACTGTGATGTTGATGTTAAACTTAATTGAAAGGACACTGTTTTTCTTTTGTTGTTGTTCGTCTCTTTTGTATTAAATATCCGGGAGAATGTGTCAAGATCAACTAGGGTTTTTCTTTCTCATTTTTTTTTCATTTTTCCTTTCTGTTTGTACTATTGTAACGGCCAAAATACCCGGAACTCTCAATTAGATTGAAGTGAGCACTTTTCCGAGAAACGGGGCTGCTTAAACGTCTCTCATGACACTCGATTAGATTACTTCTGCGAGCCGAGTGCTACTCGCGGGGCAGGCCGCGATAAGGCTTTATCAGGGACACCGATGCACTTGACCAGCCCTCGCTCTGTCTCTCTCGCACCCAGGGGGGCGTCCTGCGTAGCCCTGCGTGGGTGCGAGAGAGACAGAGCAGCCCGCGGGGCTGACGAACGGCAGAGGCCCACGTGGGACAAGTTTTCTCGCAAGGGCGGGGAAGGGGGCGGGGGCACACCGGCACACTCACACATGCCCACTGCACTGTGTATTTATCTGTGTGGACGTGTGGACAAGGCGTGGGCTGCGAGCTGTATTGGCCTGTAGGGCAATCTGATCACCACCGCCGCCACCCAGCGCTACGCCCCCCCCCCTTCCCCCTCCCCCATCACATTTGTCTTTCTGCCCATTGCATCGGATAGGCTGCCCGTGCGGACGGCTCCCTGCCGTTGACAGATGGAGCCTCTGCTCCTTGCTGCTGGCCTTGCCTGCCTTGCCGGCCGCTTGAATTTTTATTGTTATCGTTTTCTTGTTGTTTGGAGGACGCGTCGACGTCGTGGTCGCGTCTTGGCCCTCGAGAGGCCGCCCTTCGCCCGTTCGGTGTACAATACTACCTGTGCCGTTGGGACAGACGAGAGAGAGAAAGGGGGGGGAGGGGGGGGGGCAGTGTTCCGCCCGGACGTTCCACCGTGGCCTCTCTCTCTCCCCCCCACATGATTGCCGGCCGCCCCCTCTCGCTCCACGGCGCCACGCCACGCCACGCCACGCCACGCCACGCCACGCCACGCTACGCCGTCCGACTCGGAATTGCTTTATTTTTCTTTCCCTTTCTCTCTATGGTGTTGCTGGCCGTGTGTGATAGCCCACTAATGGTCCGCAAGCCCGACGACGTACTACTATATCGCGACCCGCGGACGCGGACGCCAGGCCGAGGGGGGGGGGGAGGGCGCAAAGTGGACAGTTAGTAATGTAGCGCCGTTTGGTGAAGGATGGCGGGGCGCAGCGCGCAGCGCGGCTAGTGCAGGGGCGGGGCGATTGTTTGTTTGATTCCTCGTATTTGTCGCGGGGGGGGGGGGCACTGCGAGTCTGACCGGAACGCACCGCGGTCTGCCATGCACTGCGTCGCGCCACGGCACGCCTGGTGGTCAGCCCCTGCCTCCACTCACACACACACACACAGGCGCAGGCAGGCACACGGACGGACAGAAAAACATGCTGGTACACGCACACACACACACACACTCACACGCTCGCACTGGAGGGGTGCTGGAGGATGACTCATCTCGGGCGATGGGAGATGAGAAGAGCGTTGTATACACTTAGGCCGCAAGAATGCCCCCCCCCCTTCTCGGCCAACCGCATGACCCAGTCAGCTATGTGTCTTTGGGCGGGGCGTGGTACCTAGTGCATGTTTCAGCGAGCGCACCGAAGAGGGAAGTCTCTCTTGCACGATACTGACGGAAAAGTTAGTTTTTAATTTGACGCACAATTGGAATAGAGGACCCAGCAAAAACTTTAAACATCCCCTCTGACCCGTCGTTTTCCGAGGGTGAGTGCGTTTGGTGCGGCAATGGCAGTGGCGTGGCGCCAGCAGTGTAGGGCTGCCCACCGGATATCGCACATCCCTTGTGACATCACTGTACGTCCTGCCTTCGTCCTGCCAGCCTGCTTGCTATTCCGGGGCTAGTTCGCAAGGCGGGCGTGCGTGTGCGTGTGTCAGCCTGTGTGTGTGTATGTGTGTGTGTGCGCGTGTGTGTCTGTGTGTGTGAGCGCTGCCCGTGTCTCGGGCCCTCGACAAGTGTAGGCCGCTCCACGCTGAAGGCGCTGAAGGCGCTGAGCGACAGTAAGTCGGTGTGACTTTTGGAGAAGAAGAGCAGCCTTCTTATCGGTCTTAATTGGATGTAAATGCCTAGTCGATCCATTATTGGGGGCCGTGCCGCGCCGCGCCGCCACTCCACTGCTGTCGAGATTTCACTCGGCGTGGGAAATGAAGGGAAGGGCACTGTGAAAAAAATATGCAAGGACTGAGGAGTCACTAAAAATCGCTTTGAAAACATTTTAATGCATTTGAATTTTTTTTTGGTGTGATAATTATTGCTTGGAAACGGGTAGTAGTTATGTGGAGCTGAGGTCCAGGCTGCCCCGGAACTTAAAAGTGCTTCCCCGATGCTGCCCCCCGTGCTGCACCCCGTGCTGCTGACGTGCCGACGGCATCGTTCTGGCTATCGTGCTCGCGTGCCGATGAGGCGGGACTGCTTTGACTACGTCTTCCACGGGTCTTCCCTTATCGCCGCCGAGTGCGCCTGGCGTTCCTCTCGGCAGTCTGTCTCTCTCGCACTCCGTCCCACAGTGGTCCAGAAGACCGGTGGAGGCGGTCAAAACTCTGGACGCGTTTTGAGCTCCAGAGTCGCTAAATGAGGCCCGAACCGAACGAGTGACCCCACCAATGGATTCCTAGTTCGAAAAGCAATCCATTGGTGGGGTCACACGTTCGGTTCGAGTCCCATTGAGCGACTCTGGGGCTTAAAACGCGTCTAGAGTTTTGGCCGCCTCCACCGGTGGCCCACCGTACGTCCCGTACTGGTGCGAGAGAGACAGCGACTCTGAGGCTGCAGCAGGTCGAGTCAACGGGTTCCCAGCACCTTGGGCGACGTCTAGGGTGGGAGTGCAAACCCTTTGACTGGGTATCCGTGCCGGAGCGCGAACCCTTTGGCGTGTAGAGCGCCACGGAGTCACTTCCGAGGTGGCTGAGGCGCACAATGCATTGCGATGTTCAGAGACTTAGAGTGTGCGGTGCAGTGCGGTGCAGTGCGGTGCAGTGCGGTGCTGCAGCCCGTTCCCCGAGGAGGGGACTTGTCCCGTCAACAGCTGTGTGGCCTTACCGCGGCGTGGCGTGGCGCGGCGGCGCGCAGCCCCGCTGCCTCTGGCTGCCTCTAGACCGGCTCGGCGGGGCTGGCCGGGCTGGCTGGCTGGCTGGGCTCGGCGGTCGAGTTCGTTCACCCGCTATGGCCTGTCTATAGCCGCGGCGGTGCTGCAGCAGCGCACTGGCAGCGCAGCGCTCTAGGGTACACTGCCGGAAACACCTCGTGGGACTGCCGGGCTTCAGCCTCGCTGGCTGGCGCACAGTGGGCCAGAAGACCGGCGCAGGCGGCCAAAACTCTAGACGCGTTTTGAGCTCCAGAGTTGCTAAACGGGCCTCGAACT